ACTGACCAGGCTCAATATTGCTTAACTTCAGTGATTGTATGGGAACTGGTGTTTCAAAGTGATGTGCTCATAAGCCATGGGAAGGAGGAATATAACTTCAAAATGGTTTCATCAGGAATGTTCTGCCATTCCTCTTGACCATAAATGCAGAGCTCTTACAAGTTTTGGAATTTCTAATAGACACATGTTTTTTCATCTCTCTATATAAATTTGGTTATATTAAATTCTGGACTTGAGGGGCCAGTCTTGTAACACTTTTATATCTTCATCAGTCAGAAACTTCTTTGTTACGTGTGATGTATGGCAAAGTAATCCATCATGTTGGAATATTTCAATTATTGCTGTCTCTGCTAATTGCTAGGACTTTAACAAAGTTTAACACTTTTTCGCCAGTGTTCCATTGATTTTTAGTGACTTTCTTGTACCACTGCTTTTGATGTTGCCCCAAATCACTAGACCCCACCACTAAATTTTATTGTCTTTGTTGTATGATTTGGATAGGTGCCAATTGGTCCTCAGACATATTCTCTTGCCTTAGAATTAATTTCTATTTTGCTTTCATTACTATAGTTAACGTTTGTCAATTTTTCATTATCTCATAGCAGCTATTCTTTTATTCAGTGTTTTGATAGATTTCATGTTTTATTTTTCTGATGAATTTTTTGTTACATCCATTTAGATTGCTTTTATATAGTGTCACATTTATTGTGTAAATTGAAACTACTTCAAATTCTTCATATTATACTTTTCTTCAAATTAGGTCTTTTTGTGATTCATTCCACATCAAAACCTATTAGCTACAAAAGCAAAATTAAAAATTTTGATCTCTGCACAGTGACTCTGGTCATGACATCTGGTTCCCAAAACGAGTCCCCAAAAATATAAAATAAACATTGGAGCCCATCACAAATGTTACCATTAAAGCAACAATATACAGTATATAACAATAATAATGCTGTTTTCATCCATTACTTTCATCATCATCATCATCATCATCATCATCATCATCATCATCATCATCATCATCATCATCATCAGTCCTTTGATGGCTTCAATCATTGAGGGGGACCTAAGGGCAGAAGAAACAGAAAACCTCCTCCAGAATGATCTGTTGGAGGCAGAGGTTTGTTGATGTTTGGTGATGTCCAGGGCCAACTGCTTGATTGTATGCCCCTAAGACTCAAGTAGGTGAGGCGGCTATAGAGCCATGTACTGAAAATAGAAGAAACAAACTCTTAATTGGATGCCCTCCCACAATGGATGCCCAGGTCCATCAAACCTTCTGCCTCTCCTTCTGCACGCTACTGGCTAGAGGTAGCTCTCAGGAGTTTCGGCATTATCATGTCCATCCACTCTTTGATTTTGTCTGACTAGCTTTTGTGTTGCAATCCCTGCTTGTATCCACCTTCAACAGTGTGTTGTATGATGGTCTTGTGTAAGGAAATATATATATATATATATATATATATATATATATATGCATTGAGGGACAGACAGATAGAGGAATGTATGCATTGAAATTTATTGTAGCTTGGCAAATCCTGATATATTGATCTACCTCAACACTTCTATTATTTTATGTCATGCTGTTTCTTTATGCTGTGTGATGTGGCCAAACCATAACATCTTCCAACGTTTAATATTAGCAAGAAGAGATTCCTATATTGCCCACATGACTTTTGACCTTGCTCTGTACATAGTCATTAATTTTGTGGTCCTAGTAGGAAATGCAGAGAAGCTTTCTCAAAAATTTGTTCTCAGACACTTGGTTCTTTTTTTCTGCCTCAGCTATGATTGTCCAACACTCACACCCCATAGAGGAAGATGGATATGGCCATTACTTTATGAGATGTTAAATTTGGATTGGATACTGATACCTCTTTATTTAATTTCTTTTGTCAAATTTCAAGAGTTTTTTTTTGGTAAACAGAATGCTCCCAGTATCAGAATGCTTTCTTTCTGGGTAACTTAGCATGTTTTGATATTCTAAGCTCCTTACTGATTTCACATTCACTCATTCTTTGTGACATTTTAATGATTCAGCATCTATGTATGCAAATGTGTGTGTGTCAGTGTCAGAGTATACAAATGTGTGTGTTTCAGGATCTATGTATGCAAATGTGTATGTCTGACACTGTTTGGTCACACAGTATATTTGCCACCTTTGCCTCTGTCTATCAATTTACCAAAATTCTAAGTGTGTGAGGATATAATATATATATATATATATATATATATATATATATATATATATATATATATATATATATATATATATATATATATATATATATATATATATATATATATATATATATATATATATATATATATATATATATATATATGGGACAGACAGATAGAGCAATGTGTGCATTGACATTTATTGTAGCTTGGCAAATCCTGATATATTGATCTACCTCAACACTTCTATCATTTTATGTCTTGCTGTTTCTTTATGAACTTATTTTTCTTGCATGACATTTTGTTATTTTCTTTTCAATCCTTTCCATAGATAAAAATAGATAGCAGGCATCAGAGACTGCATCTAAAATGCTTAAGTCGTATTGCAAGAGATGAGATGATAGACATTTTCCATGACTAATTCAGAAAGTCTGTTATCCATCTGACAGTCTCAGATGGAGAAATGATGAAAACAGGAGGAAAAGAAAGGTAAAGAAAGAGGCAGTATATTTGTTTTACATATTTTTAAATCCTTATCTTAAAATGAAAAAAAAAAATAAAGATGGTCAAAAGATGTGGAAAAAAAAAGTCTGAGATTCCAAAAGAAATATTAAAAAAAATCTTGCTATTTCTAAGATAGGAAGACATAAAAGAAAGTGAAAGAGGAAAGGAAAACCAGAATATAATTGCAGTGAATATTGCTGCTGTGTCTAGTACAGTGCTTCGACAAAGTTTTAGAGAAAATGGAAACACAAAGTACACTTATACTTAATATCAGGAAGAGAGAGTTGAAATTTTTATGACACATAATGAGAAAAGAGGGCTTGGAAAATTTCATACTCACAGGACAGATTGAAGGTAAGAGGGATGGAGGAAAACATTAAATTACCTACCTAGCAAGATTGAGTAAATGAATGGCAGAATGGGATTTAAGAGATATTGCAAAAAGATAAAATTTATTAAGAGCTACAAAGGACAGGAAATTGCAGAGCCATGATCGCCAATGACCTGAAGTGACACAGAACATTATTTTCTTTCGAATAAATAATATTTTGTCAGTGTTCTTCATTCTCAGTGACTGCATGCATCTTAGTAGCTTTATTGCCTTGCTTGGGGTGAAATGGTTAAAAAATAGAAATAATTATAGTCTTTCCTACTAAGACAGAAAAATGCTTTAAAAAAACAGAAAAGAAAAGCCTGGCCATGGTCTTTCTTTCCACAATTTATGTCTCAGACAATAATGTTTAACATATGGTTATTTGATTCTCTTTTACTTGCTTCTCGAACAGCATCTTGAAAATAGAATGTAGAAGGAGAAGAATTTATTAAATGATTGATCAGAGTCAGATATTTTATTTTGAAAATATTTTTCTTCTTTTTTTTCTTTTTAACAAAATAATTCTGTAAACAAATAAATCCATTTTTAATGTACATTTTGTATCCATTAAGCATAGGATAGCATTGTTCTTTTGGCAATGTCAGTGATCCTTCAACTACTTGCTTCAGGTTTTAATCTATAAGAAGATTACTAGCACCACTTTCAAGCTATCTTCTGAAATATGTAATATTAAGATACAAATGAATACAAGTGGAGGATTCAATACAGGGTGCAATTAGTAAATTTGTCACCATTTTATATTTTTAACTTCGGATATGCACATTGTTTGTTTTTGATTTTTTTGATTGCCCAGTATAGTAGGGTCTGTTGGGCACCATCTGATAAAAAATGATCACCATGACACAATTCAAGCCACCAGAAACTAGGAAACAGCATGTTGTACTGCCTGGCATTCACATCAGAAGCTCCAATATGAACATTTCAAAATGTTTGAGTGTAAATCTAAAGATAGTGCAGAGGATACAGAAAGAATTGGATGAGTCTCATGGTGATTACAAAGGTAGAGCAGCTTCGAAAATTCTGATTTTTCTGTCAAGAAAAAAACTCCCAACCGGTTGGTGAGGGCCTCAGACTCAACTCAGAACTACCTCCAAAAGGCACCTAATGTGCCTTTAGGAGGTAGTTCTGCCCTGAATCAAGAGGATGGCTGCTGGTAGACCCTATGTCTGGCAACAGACCTCTGCACCATTCCACACAAGTAGGAGAACTCAGTCATGGCTGTCAGGCACATCAAACCTTACATCTGGCCACCTCACTCCCCAAGCTGCAACCCCTTTGATTAATATGTGTGGAGTGTAGTTGAGCAAGATACCAACAAAACTCTTTGTAACTCCAAAGATGAACTGAGAGCAAGGATCATGGCAGCATTTACCAACTTAAACAAAAAGACCTTCCAGAAGAGATGCAGGAGATGATGAAGTTGTCTAGAGGCAGTGGTTGAAGCCAATGGCAATCTTATTGAATAAATTTACTCTTTAATATGTCAAGATATTTTTGTGTAATTTTGGTAAATATATCTGATAAAATGAGATTTCAACTTTATTTTCATTTTTGCATAATTCAGATGACAATTTATCCATCGCACCCTGTATATGCATTTTATTTTTTAAAACAGTTTTTTTATTAGACTGAGGACAGTCAGGATAATTGTAAACTTCATCATTCTTTCATTAGCTGGATATCATATGTGCTTTGCCAGAATTAATGTGGTGTTTGAATTCAAGTATTTTTTCTCCTAGCATGGTTACCAGCCAAGGCTTAAGAGCTCAGTCTGTTCTATTATTTAACCCAGAGCTTGGAGGAGAGAGATTTATACCTTTCTCAAGTGTATTTAAGTGAATGTAGTACGCTTTTATGGAATTCAAACACACATTTACGATTTCTCACTTTAAGCCACTATCCACTTTCCCATCCAAACTTGCAGTGCCTGATATTCCCAAGTGGTCACCCATCTAATTACTAACCCAGATCAACACTGCTTAACTTCAGTGATAGGGTGAAAACCAGTGCTTAAATGTGATGTGGCTGTAAGTTTTTCAAAACAAGGCTTTATTTATATCTATTTATAAACTCTTATTCATTGTGTTCTTATCATTCAATGAAAGACATTCAGTCAAAATGAATACTTACCTCCACACACTGAATCCTGTTCCTTTATTGTCCTTTTCCTGACTTCTCACTAAATTCTTTTCATTCTCTTTCTCTCCTTGTAACACCCTACATCCTACTGGTTTTATCCCCTTGCTTCGGGTGAAATGATTATATATATATATATATATATATATATATATATATATATATATATATAAGCATATGTGTGTGTATATATAAATATATATATATATGTATAAGCATATGTGTGTGTGTATATAAATAAATATCTATAAGCATATGTGTGTATAAAAGCAAATGTGTGTGCGTATATATATATATATATATATATATATATATAAATAAAAAGAAAGACCAGTAAGATATATAATCCGGTGTTCTTATAGATATTTTTATTTTTACAAAATAGTGCTCAATGTAAATTTACAGAGCATTAATATTATAAATTAATTGATTTAAATTATGTTTTTTTTCGCTACACAGTTCTAACCATGTTTCAAAAATGGAAGCTAAAAGCTTCGAATTTAAATTTGTAATTAAATTAAAGACATTAGTTTCATTTCATCCTCAAGCAAATTTTGGAGTAACTTATTTTTAAAATTACTGGGTTTTAAAGGCATTGCAAAAATTCATAATTCCCGTTTCCAAGGATACAGAGAAATCCATTAATCCAGACAAGGGGTGGCTGCGTGATCATTAATACTGTATTTTGTTGTATCAGTTATTAGTTACGTTTGAAGAAGGGTTTTCATTTAGGTAGGGGTAGGGATGTATTTTTCAACAAATGCTGACATCCGTTAAATGCATGTCGTCTGGATTTAAAAAAAATTTTTTATTGTTAACGGCAAAAATTCTTATGCTTATATATATATATATATATATATATATATATATATATATATATATATATATATATAAGCATATATGTGTGCGTATAAATATAAGCATACATATATATATATATATATAAGTGTGTGTGTGTATAAATATAAGCATATACATATGTGTGTGTATATATAGGTATATAAGCATATATGTGTATATATATATATATATATATATATATATATATATATATATATATATGTGTGTATATATATAAGTATCTGTGTGTATATATAAGTATAAATGTATATGTGTGTATATAAGTATATATATATATAAGTGTATATGTGTGTGTCCGTTTATATGTAAGTATAAGGATATATGTATATGTGTGTGTGTATATATATATATATATATGTGTGTGTGTGTGTATGTATATGTAAGGATATATGTAAGGATATGTGTGTGTGTGTGTGTGTGTGTGTGTGTGTGTGTGTGTGCGTGCCTTCTTTTTTTAATTGTGTTCACTCCAAGCAAGCAAGGCAGTAAAGCCACTAAGACACAAAGTGTTACTGGGTGTGGAAAAATTAGAAACAGAAACATTACTAAGGGGCAGGAGAAAAGAGTAATCAGAAGAATAGTAGATAGTGCTTGACATTGCATTTATATTTTTGAAGATTAAGCCTGGAACCAGAAGGGCGTTCCACAACCAAGAAGTGTGAGGAAAGAAACTGTCACCATAGAAATTTTGGTTACATCTGGCCAGCTAAGTGAAAATATGTATAAATTCTTGCAATATGATTAACTAAGGAACAAATAATAGATTTTCTTTTTTTTTTTTCTTTGTTTAACATCAACTTGAACTTCAGTACTCATGTTTTATATTTCAACTCTCTGATCATGGAACAATTTATTTTTTGTCATCTTTAAGGAAGTTACCTTGAAAGTAAATAGTAAAATTCAGTTCTTATGATGGAAAAATAATTGAGTTCCTAATCTTTTTTTTTTTATAAAGAAGGTGTTTAGCTTTCATTCATACTGCACAGACAAGAAGTTCAAGTAACCTCTGATTAAAGACTAATGTGCTACATTCACCAGTTTCTATCTAGCTCTCTTCTACAAAGTCAAATTTCATTTGCTCTTAAACTTAACAAAAGGTACTCCTCTAAGCATAGCAACACACCTGAGAAATCCCACGTTTTTATGTTTTCTTTTTAGTGTAATCTTTAGTTAAACTGTAATATTGTTAATCTCTTGTGATCTCTGCTTCAATGGCAGTGCATCACCAGCAGGGAACACCTCTACTAGCAGATAATTCTAAGGTCATATAAAAATGTTAGTAGTAGCAGATTTCAATTCCCCTTAACTTTCACTCTCTGGGATTTTCTTTGGTATTCTGTTTTCTTTACTATTTTACCGCAGTCTTTTCTCAAAGTATAGGTTGACATTAAAAGAAACCATTGTTGCAGTTTATCTCTTGGAACAAAAAAAAAAGATCTGGTCATTAGGACAATTGTCATAGCTTCTCTTTTAGTTTGAGTTGTCTGCATGCTTTTGATAGCTTCTGGCGTATTGCATCATGCTAGCAACTGAATCGTTATACTCAAACATTTTCTTCAATACTGGTGAGGTGTATCTCAGTTCTTGCCAATAAAAATGAGAAAACAAATGAATAAACAAACAAAAAAAATATAGCTTATACAGAAGTGATTTTTTGTCACATCAATTTTCTTGTCTCATTCACCTTTCTGGCGACACAAAAATCAAATTGTTTTAGTTCTGTTCAATGAGTGAGCTGATGGGTGTCAGCGATGTTGTCTGCGGTTCAAATCAAGAAGGCTAATTTTGATTCCAGATCAAGTCGAATATATTTTTTCCTTGAGATTGATATATTTCATGGGCAGTGCTATTAGAGACATTCATGTTTTCTTTTATTTTTTGCTATAGTTTCAGTTGTCTGTGAAAATTGTTCTTTTTACAAAGTTTAATGATAAAACAGTTAACATCATTTCCTTTACATTTCTCTCTTTTGAAATCCACCTTCAATGCTGCAGCAAAGAAAACATTTAAAGAACACAGGAAAAAATATTACTCTCACCTCAAAAAATAAGTAACCCTAACAAGATAACATACACCGTCACACATACACATACACAAAGACACACATACACACACAAGTGGTCCTATATTCAGTTTTAACCTATATGTAATGGATCAGTTATAATAAATTTAGTAGAGAAGATAAAGAAATTGTGCATAGAAGACTTTATATTGGGAGTTTGTGACAGGAATGCTAGTTGTGTTTATGTAAAAAAACACATGTCTCCTGGTGTTATTTTTCCCATTACAATTATTGAAGACTTCAGTCCAAGTAATAAATGAATAACACAAAACAATATGCAACAAATGACAATGCATATATTAACAAAAGAAGGAAAGAAAGGAAGAAAACATTTAAAGACAAGCTTCATAAAGCATTTAAATTAGAGAATGTATGTTTTTGTGTGTGTGAAATTTGTGTCGGCCTACGTGATAGGTACATGTGTGAAAGAATACAAAAAGTCACAAGAGAAAAGTAAGACATTGATAATTAATGTGTCTCAGTCGGGGACACTTTTTTACCCCACATTTGACTACATCTTTGAGCCGGAGTTGTGAAACTGTAAAAGAGAATGAGTGAGAATATTATTTCCTATTTATAGGCTTAAGGAGCATCCCCCTAGCAACATATTTCATTTTTTTTTTAGGGAAATCAAGTAGGACAACCCACAAATTTGTCCACCACCACCACAAGATGCTACAATACCAAAATGTTAGCCTAAGAAATGTCATGTTCCTAAATAGTCTTATCAAAATCTAGATTCTCATAGTGATTTTCTAAGCCCGTCGTAGATGTGGCAAAAGGCCAAAAGTATGGGGCACCCAGCAAGAATTGAATTCACTACTCAGTTGTAATTGATCTAGCAAGACAATGGCCTTAATTTTTCATGGCATTCTATAGACTAAATTCTTTAGTAACTCAATGTCCTTCACCAGATTTTTCAAACATTCCTTTAATTTGCGAAAAAGCTCATCTTCTATGTTAACTTTCCTATTATGGGCACACTTGTTCATTATCGCCAAAAGGTTTTCAATTGGGTTAAGATCAGGACTCTGACTAGGCCACTGGAAGAGTTGCAATTTACCCTCATCGTGCTTCCTCTCTCAATAATGTTTATTCTTTAAGGCAGTATGCTTAGTATTGTTATGTGATTGTTACTAAATCATTTTTTGACTTGTATAGTGTACATATGTACACCTGTATTCTATTATTCTTCTTAGTAAAAATACAAAAATCAACTTTATATGGGTGCATCCATTTTTGCCTCATACTGTATATATATATATATATATGTATGTGTGTGTGTGTGTGTGTGTGAGCATGTAATAATGGTACAGGATTAGTATCTGAATAAATGAATAAGTATTAAACTTTTTTCAAATAATTATTTTAACTATTCTTCGATTATTTTATATTAAATACTTTTGTTTTAATATTAATGGTTAATCCCTATTATGGTTACCAATAATCCCTATTATGGTTACCAATAATCCCTATTATGGTTACTAATCAAAAATCACTCAACAAAAACATTGAATATTATTTTCTGTCATAATAGAAAAGTATGATTGGATTCAAAATCCCTTCATAAATTTACTTTCTAATATTGGACTTCTGTTATGTGAAGAAGAATTGGCCACCATTTCTAGTAATCGAGGAGTCAAGATAAAACATTTGATGGTACCCGTTGATGCATCTTGGATTTCAATACAAAAGGAATATCCCACATTAGCTTAAAAAGGCTTTATCAGTTTTATTGCAATTTTCTACTTCTTATTTGTGTGAATTAGGCTTCTCAACCCAAAATAACATCAAAAATGATTTATATCATAATTAAAGAAAGAGAAATAACAAAATAATCTGCATCACACTTCAAACAATAAAAATAGGTAACACATGTAACTAGAAGAGAAAATAATGATATAATTAAGATGTTAATTTTCCACATTACCAAAACCAAAGGTCAGGATGAAACTCCATTCAGTATTAGA